GTGTATATATATGTGTGTGTGTGTGTGTGTGTGTGTGTGTGTGTGTGTGTGTGTCTGTGTCTGTGTCTGTGTCTGTGTGTGTCTCTCTCTCCCATTGCTCCTCACCAATCCCTTCCTTCCTTTTCACCCAAGTCTTCATCTCTCTATTTACAACACGTAACTCGCCACCATTTATAATCACAATAAACTCCGTCCTTTCCGTTTGCCTTTCTTCAACATCGCCTATCTATTCTATCTCATTAGATAAAAATAGCCTTTTCAGACGATTCGTGTCCCAAGTGTTTGGAGTAACGGAAAAGGATAATGTTATCTTTTAAGAGCCAGGTTTAATTTTGAATTTGAATACGCATTTACAGCCCTTCGGCTCTGTGAAGTGATGGAAGTATTGGAGCACAAAATTGGCATACGTTCGAGTAAGATGTGAAAAAGTGAAGTTTATTTGTATCATTCTAAAAACCCTCTGTTTACGATTTAGTGTCCCTTTCTTTTTACGTTGATGTGTGACCATGCACAGGATTTTTCTTTTAAATTATGTTTTCGATTACTTTGTTTGAATTTTGTATTTGATTGGTATGCGTCGTTTGCTTATTTATTTGGGAGCCTCTATCCCTCTTATCGGAGACGGCCATCGCCACTTCGATACCTATGTTGTTTTGCCCTTAAGGGTGTTAAACTTAAGATCTAAAGCAGACTGAAAGTCTCAAAAATCTTTCATCCTGGTTTTTCTTTTTCTTTATTTTTTTCTTTCTGCACTGAATGAACATTTTCCACAGTGAGATGCAAAATGCGATACACTGTCATTGTAAACGACCAAAACAAAATTTTCCCTGCCAGATGAATAAAGATTGTCATTGTCATTTTCAAAATATGTACTTTGAAAGGTCTGCAAAGTATTATCTGTGCGAGTATTATTTCACCATTACAGTGATCCTTGGCACACAACCAGCTAAACCGAGTCAAAAACTAACATCATGTGTGATATTTTAGAATTGACAGAAAGACGAACATGGGAAACGTCATCTACTGTAATCCGTTTGTTTGTTGTTGGGTTGTTGTTTTTTTACGGAATAATAAAACCACATAATACGACGTTCTTAGTTTCTCCCAAATGTTTCTTTCATTATGCCTCTCGGTGTTGAATTGCGATGCTTAGAATAGATTGCTCTAACGTAAACGAAGCCACAAAACAAACTTGCATTACAAAAATTGTATATATAATCCACTGCCTGAAAGTAATGTTCAGCGGAGACAAACAATATAGTGGTATGTTTCGTTCGTTGTGAAACACCCCACCTCCGCTCCCTCCCTTTCCCCACCCTGTCCCAAGCGAAAAAATGTGAAATATTAACCCTCTCACTGCTGTGCCCAACACTTTCCTTGAGCGAAAAACGATGTTGACAGGTGGTTAATTGAGAGAAGTTTCTCATTACGGAGCGGATGATCCTGGTTCGAATCCCCAAGGGGGGTGGGAGGTATTGTGAACTTAAGTTTGTTTTGGGGGAGTTGTTAAAGCTCTCCACCCATTTGGCTCTGTCTAATCGAAAATGAGCGTTAAATTCGGAGGCCCCCTCCTCTAAAGAAAAGCATCAAAGCGACCGTAAACCGATACAATGACAATGCCACTATTTGAAAAAGAATAAAAATAGATAAAGCTGTGACACTGAAGGTGTTAAGAAATAAATGAGACGTCTTCGGCCTGTCAAAATTGGGAAGGTCTAACACGGTACGTAATAAGAAAGATCAAATGTCACGCGAAGTTTAGCCTTTCCCTAATTAGGCACTGCACATGATGTCTCATGTGATGTATTTTAGCCTTCCGATAACCTCCAGTGCTTGTTAATAAATGGATGGGTACAAAATGCTCTCTGTGGGTGGTTGGCGGGTGCTGTAGTGTGGTTTGCTCCTTCCTTCCTATCAGACATTTACAATTTATTGTGTTTACTTATTTCTCTTCCTTTATGTTTTTTGTTTTTCTGTTTGTTTGGGGG